TTGAAGGATAATTGCTTTACAGAATTTTGTTGTTTTCTGTCAAACCCCCTGTCCAAACACGAATCAACCATAGGTGTACATATACCTCCTCCCTTTTGAACCTCCCCCCATCTCCCTCCCCATTCCACCCCTCTAGGTTGATACAGAGCCCCTGTTTGAGTTTCCTGAGCCATACAGCAAATTCCTGTTGGCTTTCTATTTTACATATGGTAATGTAAGTTTCCATGTTACTCTTTGCATACATCTCACCCTCTCTTCCCCTCTCCCCATGTCCATAAGTCTATTCTCTGTGTGTGTTTCTCCATTGCTGTCCTATAAATTCTTCAGTACCGTTTTTCTAGATTCTGTATATATACATTAGAATATGATATTTATCTTTCTCTTTCTGACTTACTTCACTCTGTATAATAGGCTCTAGGTTCATCCACTTCATTAGAACTGACTCAAATGCATTCCTTTTTATGGCTGAATAATATTCCATTGTGTATATGTACCACAACTTCTTTACCCATTCATCTGTCGATGGACATCTAGGTTGCTTCCATGTTCTAGCTATTGTAAATAGTGCTGCAATGAACAATGGGATACATGTGTCTTTTTGAATTTTGGTTTCTTCAGGGTATATGCTTAGGAGTGGGATTGCTGGGTCATATGGTGGTTTTATTCCTAGTTTTTTAAGGAATCTCCATACTGCCTTCCGTAGTGGCTGTATCAACTTACATTCCCATCAACAGTGCAAGAGTGTTCCTTTTTCTCCACATCCTTTCCTGCTTTTATTGTTTGTAGACTTTTTGATGATGGCCATTCTGATTGGTGTGAGGTGATATTTCATTGTAGTTTTGATTTGCATTTCTCTAATAATGAGCAATGTTGAGCATCTTTTCATGTGTTTCTTAGCCATCTGTGTGTCTTCTTTGGAGAAATGTCTGTTTAGTTCTTATTCCCACTTTTTTTTTTTCATTTATTTTTATTAGTTGGAGGCTAATTACTTTACAATATTGTAGTGGTTTTGCCATACATTGACATGAATCAGCCATGGATTTACATGTATTCCCCATCCCGATCCCCCCTACCACCTCCCTCCCCATCCCATCCCTCTGGGTCTTCCCAGTGCACCAGCTCTGAGCACTTGTCTCATGCATCCAACTTGGGCTGGTGATCTGTTTCACCATTGATAGTATACTTGTTTCAATGCTGTTCTCTCAGAACATCCCACCCTTCCCTTCTCCCACAGAGTCCCAAAGTCTGTTCTGTACATCTATGTCTCTTTTTCTGTTTTGCATATAGGGTTATCATTACCATCTTTTTAAATTCCATATATATGTATTAGTATACGGTATTGGTCTTTATCTTTCTGGCTTACTTCACTCTGTATAACAGGCTCCAGTTTCATCCATCTCATTAAACTGATACAATGAATTCTTTTTAATGGCTGAGTAATATTCCATGGTGTATATGTACCACAGCTTCCTTATCCATTCATCTGCTGATGGGCATCTAGGTTGCTTCCATGTCCTGGCAATTATAAACAGTGCTGCGATGAACATTGGGGTGCACATGTCTCTTTCAGATCTGGTTTCCTCGGTGTGTATGCCCAGTAGTGGGATTGCTGGGTCATATGGCAGACTTTTTGACTGAATTGTTTGTTTTTCTGGTATTGAACTGTATGAGCTGCTTGTATATTTTGGAAATTAATCATTTGTCAGTTGTTTCATTTGCTATTATTTTCTCCGGTTCTGAGTGTTGTCTTTTCACCTTGCTTATGCACCTCCTTTGCTGTCCAAAAGCTTTTAAATTTAATCAGATCCTACTTGTATACTTTTGTTTTTATTTCTGTTACTCTAGGAGGTGGGTCCTGGAGGATCTTGCTTTGATTTATGTCATCGAGTGTTCTGCCTCTGCTTTCCTCTAAGAGTTTTATAGTTTCTGGTCTTACATTTAGGTCTTTAATTCATTTTGAGTTTATCTGTGTGTATGGTGTTAGGAAGTGTTCTAATTTCATTCTTTTACATGTAGCTGTCCAGTTTTCCCAGCACCATTTATTGAAGAGGCTTTCTTCTCTCCATTGTATATTCTTGCCTCCTTTATCAAAAATAAGGTACCCATAAGTGCATGGGTTTATTTCTGGGTTTTCGATCTTGTTCTATATTTCTGTTTTTGTTCCAGTACCATACTGTCTTGATGACAGTAGCTCTGTAGTATAGTCTGAATTCAGGAAGGTTGATTCCTCCAGCTCCATTCTTCTTTCTCTAGACTGCTTTGGCTATTCAGGGTCTTTTGTGTTTCCATATGAATTGTGAAATTTTTTGTTCTAGTTCTGTGAAAAATGCCATTGGTAATTTGATAGGGATCACACTGAATCTGTAGATTGCATTTGGTAGTACAGTCTTTTTCACAATATAGATTCTTCCTACCCAGGAACATGGAATATCTCTCCACCTATTTATGTCATCTTTGATTTCTTTCATTAGTGTCTTAACATTTTCTGTGTACAGTTCTTTTTTCTCCTTAGGTAAGTTTATTCCTAGATATTTAATTCTTTTTGTTGCAGTGGTTCAAGGGATTGATGCCTTAGTTTCTCTTTCTGATTTTTCATTGTTAGTATATAGAAATGCAAATGATTTCTGTGTACTGATTTTGTATCCTGCAACTTTGCTAAATTCACTGATTAGCTCTAGTAATTTTCTGATACTATTTTTAGGGTTTTCTATGTACAGTATCATGTCATCTGCAAACAGCAAGAACTTTACTTCTTCTTTTCTGATTTGGATTCCTTTTGTTTCTTTTTTCTTCTCTGATTGCTGTAGCTAGAACTTCGAGAGCTATGTTGAATAATAGTGGTAAAACTGGACACCCTTGTCTTGTTCCTGATCTTAGGGGGAATTCTTTCAGTTTTTCACCATTGGGAATAATGTTTGCTGTTGGCTTATCATATATGGCCTTTACTATATTGAGGTAGATTCCTTCTATGCTGATTGTTTGAAGAGTTTTAATCATAAATGGGTGCTGAATTTTGTCAAAGGTTTTTTCTGCTTCTATTTAGATGATCATATGTTTTTTATCTTTCAGTTTGTTAATATGGTATATCACATTGATTGATTTGCATGTATGGAGGAATCCTTGTATTCCTGGAATAAACCCAACTTGATCATGGTGTATGAGCTTTTTGATGTTCTGCTGAATTCTGTTTGCTAAAATTTTGTTGAGGATTTTTGCATCTGTGTTCATCAGTGATATTGGCCTGTAGTTTTCTTTTTTGTGTGTTGTCTTTGTCTGGTTTAAAAAATATGCAATGCTTCATGAATTTGCATGTCATCCTTGTGCAGTGGCCATGCTAATCTCTGTATGATTCTAATATTATATGTGCTGCTGAAGTGAGCACCCATTCTTATTTTTTAGAGTTTTCTTTTACTTTGAATCTGAGTTAATTACTTGCTTAATTAGCTATTCAGTGGTGGCAGTGGTTTAGTCACTAAGTCATGTGTGACTCTTGTGACCCCATGGACTGTAGCCCACAGGGCATGGTACTAAAAAAAGAGAGAATCGAGATTCAAGGCATCTGAATTTTGTTGAAACATATGTAATAAAATATCTTTGAACCTTGCTTTCCTTAGCTATAAAATGTGGGACTCAGATAAGGTACTTGCTAAGAGTAAATACCTATATTTGGATCCACAATATGCTTAGTGCTGTCATAAATGCTTTATATGTAATATTTACTCTTAAAAACACACCTATTGCTTTGAGAGAACAGCATCGAAACATGTATATTATCCAGGGTGAAACAGATCACCAGCCCAGGCTGGATGCATGAGACAAGCGCTTGGGCCTGGTGCACTGGGAAGACCCAGAGGAATCGGATGGAGAGGGAGGTGGGAGGGGGGATCGGGATGGGGAATACATGTAAATCCATGGCTGATTCATGTCAATGTATGACAAAAACCACTACAATATTGTAAAGTAATTAGCCTCCAACTAATAAAAATAAATGGAAAAAAAAAGAAAAAAATAAAGTGTAGAATAAAAAAAACCACACCTATCATATATACATTATTACTATATGCATCATTTTACAGATGAGGAAAGAGGCATAAAGAATTTGATTCACTTTCCCATGGTCACCCACCTAGTAAATGACAGAATATGATATGAACTGAGGTAAGGCCCCTTTATGTAAAGTAATATTTCCTTATTTTAGTTAGCAATTTATGGTTTTTTTACAATTTATATTGTTATTAAATTATGAAGTTCTGAAGGCAGTAATTATGTTTTACGGTTTTTCGTATTTTCACATCAACAAACACAAATTTTTTAAGTTGAAAAGCACTAGATAAAACATAGGGGATTCCCTGAGGCCTCAGACAGTAAAGTATCTGCTTGCAATCCAGGAGACCTAGGTTTGATCCCTGGGTTGTGAAGATCCCATGGACAAGGGAATGGCTATCCACTCCAGTATTCTTGCCTGGAGAATCCCATGGGCAGAGGACCCGGGCAAGCTACAGTCCACAGGGTTGCAAAGAGTTGGACAAGACTGAACAAATAACACTTTCACTTTTCAGGCAAAACATAACAGTTGTTAATAAGGCCTATGTTGGAGTAGGTAGGATCCATTATAAGCCTTGACGAAAGAAGCATCCTGACTGAAATTATGTTTGTGAAAATTTGAAGCTACTTCAACAATGCTTACAAATTTGGAAAAGAACTCAGAGAAAAAATTGGAAATTGAAATCATTCTATTGGGCAAAATAGCCTGAAAAGAGTTGATTAAGGATATTGGGGTTATAAAGGAATAGTCATTGGAAGGACTGATGCTGAAGCTGAAGCTCCAATACTTTGACCTCCTGGTGCAAAGAGCTGACTCATTAGAAAAGACCCTGATGCTGGGAAAGGTTGAAGGCTGGAGGAGAAGGGGACGACAGAGGATGAGATGGTCGGTTGGCATCACCAACGCGATGGACATGAGTTTGAGTAAGCTCCAGGAGTTGGTGATGGACAGGGAAGCCTGGCGTGCTGCAGTCCATGGGGTTGCAAAGAGTTGGACACGACTGAGTGACTGAAATGAACTGATAGGAATAGTTACAGGGATTAGTGATACACTTTTCTCTGTCCATGCTAAATACCAACGAATTTAGGAGCCCATACTGTTTTAGGGGCATGCAAAATGAAGTGAATGAATGAGAAGTATTTTGTACTTAAGAGATTATAGACTTTTTTTTCTATTAAATGGAGTTAGATTTGTCTTAAACACAATAAATGCCAAGAGAACTTCCTGTCTGCAAGTTCACATTTCAAACGGTTTCATACTGTTCCCAAAGTAAGTCACATTGGCACAAATTTACAGAGTAAATATGCAGTGTGTTTTACTCTGGAATGTATTGCCACAGAAATGTCAAATGAGAAAAAAATAAGTGCATAACAAGCAAGCAGAGGAATTTGATAGGTGTGATGCTAGGTCTAATCTATTTCTATATTGCTTTCTTTCCACTGTGCTTTTCAACAGCCCTTTCAATAGCTGGTTTTTTTCTTAGTGGAGATGTGAATAGATGCAGAGAGGAATCCCAAACATGGAACTGATTGTTCCTCACTTAATTTAGTTATACCTCAAAATGTCTACAGAATGCAGTTCTGATGCCCATAGCCTTGTGGAAGGTCCGACCAAGGGCATTCTTCACCTCATTATTTCTCAAGCTGTAGATGATGGGGTTCAGCATGGGAGTTACAACTGTGTAGCACAGTGATAGCACTTTTTTGCTCTCAGGAGAATTATTGGATTTAGGCCGAAAGTAGGTGAGGCTTAAAGATACATAGAAGAGGGAGACAACAAGAAGATGGGATGAGCATGTAGAGAAGGCTTTATGCTTCCCCTTTGCCGATGGAATCTTCAGGATGGCAGCAGCGATGCGAGTGTAGGAACATAGGATCAGCAAACAGGGTATCATGACAACCAGAATGGTTCCAATGATGGCATAGGTCTCAAACAGTGCTGTGTCTGCACAGACCAGCCTCAGCACAGGCGGGCTGTCACAGAAGAAGTGGTTCACCTTGTTGATGCCACAGAATGGAAAGCTGAAGAGCCACGTGGTCTGCACAGTAGCCATGGGAATGCCTGGAAACCAGGAGACAGCTGCCAGTTTGGCACGTGTCCTTGGATTCATGATGACTGGGTAGTGCAAGGGACTGCAGATGGCTACATAGCGGTCATAGGCCATGGTGGCCAGGAGGAAGCATTCAGAAACCCCAAAGAAGAAGAAGAAATACATCTGAGTGGCACAGCCAAGAAAGGAGATGGTTGTGTCCTGGGCAACCAGGGTCCCCAGCATCTTGGGCACAATGACCAGGTTGAAACCAATCTCTAAGAAGGACAAGTTCCTGAGGAAGAAGTACATGGGGCTGTGCAGCATGGGGTCAGCCCAGGTAACCAGAATGATGAGGCTGTTTCCCAGCAGAGTGACCAGGTAGATGAACAGAAATGTCAGGAAGAGTAATGACTGTATTTCAGTAGGTAAGGAAGAGAAACTCATGAGGATAAACTCACTTACTCTTGTCCAGTTTCCTTCAACCATTGATATAGGAATGAACCCCCAGCTGTGGTCATGGAGAGAGACTCTTGATTGGAAGAGTCAGATTCTAGATTTGTTGTTGGGATTCCTTTTAGTGTCAGGAAAGAAGCACAATCAGGATCTCACTTATAAGAAGAAAGGTCTTGTGCTATCTGAGAATAAAGACACAAGGAAGAAAGACCAGAGCCTGGGTTCTGAAATGGGCAATGTCTCATCTTTCCCCAGTCTCACTCTTTATGATTCATTTCCCACTTTGTTACTGTATTTGCTAAAACAATTTGCATCATATCCACACACACTCATTTTCCGATGCACACTTAGTACCCTCAGAGTGTGGTTAAGTGAGAGGGGTCCTGAGGCAATTGGGTGGAGTCAGAAGGAAAAACAATAGGAAATTTCTATTTCTATTTCTATTATGTCTCCCCCTTCTTCAAAGATTCATGGTGTTTGATTCTCCACCTATTACTAGAAATAATGCTAACTTTAAAAAAACATTTATTTATTTGTTTGTTCATTTATTTGGTTGTGCTGGGTCTTATTTGCAGCATTAGGGATGTAGTTCCCTGATGAGGGATCTAACTTGGCTGCCTGCATTGGGAGGGCAGATTCTTAGCCACTGGACCACCAAGGAAGTCTCAGTAATTATTTCTTTGTACATATTTAAAGACTGTAATCCTAAAAGAACTTGAGAGGGTATATAAACAGAAAAACTCAACTGTTTTATCATGTTTTGTTTTGAGGTGACTCAAAGTAGTAGAAAAAGTGGCAAGGAGATGCAAAGAAAGGATGTAGCAGTTTTAAGGCAAGTTTTCCCCCTTTTCAATGTAAAAACACTAGAGTCCTTCACGTCATCTAATGCTTATTCTTTCTTGTCTAATCAGATTATGAGGTGACTACCTTAGGATATTTCTCCTCAGTCCAGCAAAGTTATAATTGACAGTTGATTATCAGGACCCAGAATATCCACTGGCTTTCAAAATTAAAATCTGAGAGGAGTATTTTAATATACCTAAGTAGATAGTGAGTGTGTCCCAAGAGTTCCAACTACTTCTCTTTCTGGACTGGACAAATAAAAAAAAGAAAAAGAAACAGATTCTCACAAAAATTCTGCAAAAATTATGAGGAACATTAGAGTCAGCGTGCAAAGGAAAACTGTTTTGCATAAACAACCTGGTTTATATGAATAAGAGATAGAGCCTTCAATGATATGAAAAAATTCAATATATATTCTACTTCTTTCGAGGCACTGGTGATATGATGATTGATTGCCTCCTTTAACTTTAGAATCTAATGAAGGAGATATTCAAATAATCAATTATATTAAATCACAATGAAGGGCATGATACAGGAAATATATAGTACCTTGGGTGGGATGTATGAGAAATAGGAGTGCCTACTGCAGTCTATGAAGGCTTTTCTAGGCAACAGGGGTGAATATGAAGTTTGCTAAAAGACAGCCAAAACATCTAGGGCGCTGTATGGAATTATGAAGTTTAATCAAGAATAAATGACTAGGAAAAATATCAAAATAACTAAGCTAACACTTGAACTGAAAGTATTCCTCTGTATACAACAAAATAAATGGAAATATACTCATACCAGTATGTCCTTATCTTTGTGCTATTTTTCTTTTACATTTGAGGATAGGGAAATTTTTCTTTACCCATTCAGATAGAAAACAAACAAAAATGAAAAAGTAAAATCACAAAATCCACAACAAAAGACCTTTTCTGCTACACACAAAAACACAAAACTATCTTACACAAATCAAAAAGCTAAATCTAAATGGATTAAGGTTTAGATGTAAGGCCTGAAACTGTAAGAGTAGAATATTGACATCCGGGGAACTGAAGGAAGAAAAAAGGGGAGTTTCTGTGTAAAGAGTATAAAGTCTCAGTTTTGTCAGATGAATTACTTTTAGAAATCTAATGTGCCTATAGTTAACAAATTGTATTGTATAACTAAAATATTTTAGAAAGTTCTCATGTTAAGTGTTCTCACCATGATAAAATTCTTTAAAAAAAAAAGACGTTGGGAAAAGAAAAAAAATCATGCAAAGAATATAATCATACATTTGAACTCAAAATGGCTATAAAACATGGGAAGATATTCAAAGTTACTAAAAAGTAAGTACAAATTAAAACTAAGATTAAACAATTGCAGTATTCAGTTATGTTAAAAGTTAAGGGAAATAAACTTGATAGGTAAGAAATGACAAATAAATCTCCCAATATAAATCAAAGAATCTTTGAACTAACAATATCTTATCTGCAATTTTAGACTAAGTTTGGGTGAAAATTGTGTTTACCTGAATGTTTTTCTCAACCTTATTTATGATAGTGTAGTTGCAAACAAATGAACCAAAAGAACAAAAACAGCAAAGTTGGTTAAATAAATTGTTATATCTCTGCTACGAATTTCTAAGCTGAAATTTAGAATCATGTTATAAAAGAATATTTAATAACATGGAGGCATATATGAGAATGGAGTATGTTAAAAAATAATATGTTTAGTGTGAAGATACTTATTTTAAAATATAAACTACTTCCATAAATGTGTGCTCTGTGTATATGTGCTCAGTCATGTCTGATTCTTTGCAACCCTTTGAACTATAACCTGCTAGGCTCCTCTGTCCATGTGCTTTTTCAGGCAAGAATACTGGAGTGCGCTATCAATTCCTTCTCCGGGGGATCTTTCTGACCAGGAATTGAACCCACATCTGTCTCCTGGATAGCAGGCAGATTCTTTAGAGCCATCAGGGAAGTCCATATTCACAAATAGAAAACTCAACTGCACTCATTTAGATGTTAAAATATTAATGTGGTGGTTTTAAGTGTTTTAACTTTTTTCTTTTTGTTTCATGTATCTATAATATTTATCTTGATGTTTTAATCTTTGTATTTGAATAAACGTGAATATTATAATGAAATATTCAAGCTACCCAAAACAACACTTCACATTTTAAAATACAACGATAAATTTGAAATTTTATCTGTAGTAACAGGTAAAACAAATTATTATTATTCAACAAATAATAAAAACTGTCTATTGGTCTGTGGAGGGGTCACAGAGCATTAAGGAAAGCCGCTATCAATAAAAGCAAAAATAAATGGGACCTAATAAACATTAAATCCCTTGTAAAACCAAAGAAACCACCAACAAAGACAACACATAGAATGGAAGAAAATACCTGCAAATGTTATTAGGACCAACAAGGGGTTAACATCCAAAATACATAAACAGCTTGTACAATCCAATATCAAGAAAACCAAACAACCCAATGAAAAACTGGGCAGAAGGCCTGAATAGACTTTTTTTTCCCAATAATGTACAGATGGCTAATGGGCATGTGAAAAGATGTTCAACATGGCTAATGATTGCGGGGATTCCCTGATAGTTCAGCTGGTAAAGAATCTGCCTGCAATGCAGGAGACCCTGGTTCAATTCCTGGGTTGGGAAGATCTGCTGGAGAAGGGACAGGCTACTCACTCCAGTATTCTTGGGCTAATAATTAGATAAATGCAAATCAAAGCCATAGCGTGATATCACCTCACTCCTGTCAGAATAGCTATCATCAAAGAGTCTACAAATAATAATTTGCTGGCAAGAATGTGGAGAAAAGGGAACCCTTGTACCCTGTCACTGGGAATGTAAATTGGTGCAGCCACTATGGAAAACAGGATGGAGGTTACTCAAACACTAAAAAGAGAACTACCGTATGACCCAGCAATCCCACTGCTGAGTATATATCCCAAGAATATGAAAACACTGATTCAAAAGTATTTGTGTGCACACACACACATATATATATGTATACACACACACACATATATATAATGGACTATATTGCTTAGCCATAAAAAGAATGAAATTCCCCTATTTGAAGCCATGTGAAAAAAAATAAAAGAAACCATGTGCATGGACCTAGAAAACATTATGATTAGTGATATGTCAGAGAAGGACAAATATTGCATGATAACACTATATAAGGAATAAATCACTATATAAGGAATAAAACAAACTAGTGAATATAACAAAAAAGAAACAATCTCACAGAAAGAGAAACCAAACTAGTGGTTACTAAAGGAGAGGGGGAAGAGGGAGGGGCAAACTAAGGGTATGAGATTAAGAGATACAAAATTACTATGTATAAAATAGGTAAGAAACAAGGATATATTATATAGTACTAAGAATTATAGCCATTAGCTTGGAATGACTTTGAATGGAATATAATCTATAAAAATATAGATTACATGTATGGAATTTAGAAAGACTTTAAGGATGACCCTATATGCCAGACAGCAAAAGAAACACAGAAGTGAAGAACAGCCTTCTGGACTATGTGGGAGGATGGCATTGGAACATGTATATTACCATATATAAAACAGAATGACCAATGCAGTTTCCATGCATGAAGCAGGGCACTCCTCAGAGGGATGGGTAGGGAGGGGTGTGGGAGGGGGTTCGGGACGGTGGGACACATGTACACCCATGGCTGATTCATGTCGATGTGTGGCAAAAGCCGCCATAATATTGTAAAGCAATTCACCTCCAATTAAAATAAATAAATAAATTTTAAAAAAAAATAAAAATTTTAAAAATAAAAAAGTTACTATGTATAAAATAGGTCAGAAACAAGGATATATTATACAGTACTGAGAGTTATAGCCATTAGCTTGTAATGACTTTGAATGGCATATAATCTATAAAAGTACTAAATAAATCACTATGCTGTACATCTGAAACTAATAAAACCTTTTAAATCAACTATACTTTAATTAAAAATGATCTCTCTCCCTTAAAAACATAGGGAATGAAGATTCAATTCACCAAAAAAATCAATAAGAAATGAACATGTAAAATTACTCTATTTTCCCAGTACTAAAAATAAACACAAATTAGACAAATCAATAAATAACACTGGAATTCAATTTTGGTCATCAAACTTGGAAAAGTAAAAATAATCATAACACTCAGTGCTAATAAGGGTATGGTATAGTAGAACATACCTTTGATTTTGGTGTAAAAAATAGTATAATTTTTCTGAAAAGCAATTTAGAAAATTTAAATGAAATCTCTTAAAGTGGTCATACATTTTGTCTCAAGAACTCATTGTTTCTAATTTAAACCAATAATCAGAGCCTTAGACAAAGATTTCACTTATAAACATTTCAGTGTTGTATCTCTATAGTGTCAAAACTGGAAACAATCACTAATGAATAACTGACTAGGTCAATTATGACCTAAAGACCTCAGAAAATATCATGTGATCATCTAAGCCTTTTTTGAAGAAATGCTATTGAATAACATCCATGACATAA